ACCATGAGAAATCTTAGCTTATAAAATTAGTACAACAAAGTCATTGTAAATAATTGGTTGATTCCAAATTTAATCACATTTATTTATTTTCATTGAAATAATTAAAATTTAATTAACAATGACATTTGCCATTATAATAAAATTGACTCCTTGCTTTAAAAGGGATTCAACTGCTTAAATGAAGAAATTTGTAATGACAAAATATGAATCCTCAAAACAAAGAGTCTATGTAGTAATTGCTTTTAAGCATAAACCCTTTGAAGTATAGAAAATAATCCTAGTACATAGCTCAATTAAATAATTGGGTTTTTTCCAGTAATTTAATTTAGATTTTCATAAATTACTCAATTCGCAGGGGAAAAAATCTTTATTTTTTTATTTTTTTTATTTTATGAAATGATTCCCACATACCATGGTATTGTAAAATGTTACCCCATTTTATAATAGCAATTATAGTACGTAGTTATTAGAATTTAGTTTCATTTATGAAGCTCTTGTTGTTAGTTGCAAAGTCGTGTCCGACCCATCGCGACCCCATGGACAACGTCCCTCCAGGCTTTCCTGTCCTCTACCATCCTCTGGAGGCCATTTAAGCTCACACCGACAGCTTCCGTGACTCCGTCCAGCCACCTCATTCTTGGAAAAAAGGATTCTGCAATTTTCAGCTTCTGTTATGCAGAAACAAATGAAAATGAAAATGAACACACATTAGCAATTTAAAAAATTAGCTAGTTCAACATTGCATATTTTCTTTATTCAATCCAAAGGCACTCACACCAATGTGATCACTTAATAAGTGTTACAATTAAAAGGGGAAAAAAGCAAGTCAGCATCCCTTCAAAATTAATGCATAGGAAACAGTCTTACACTAGCAAAACATTTGCATCTTCAGGAGACAATAGCTGGAGCAGAGTTCTTCCTGACTATGAAAAGTTACACAAGTTTCATACAATTAGAAAAGTCTTAGACATCTTCCATTAATTTCTACGTGAGTTGATTAGTGAGTTTTTCCAAAATTAGCACCCCAACAAAACAGTTTTCCATTCAAAAACTTTCGTGAGAAGATACTTGTTTCTAAATGTATGAAAACAGATGGATATGTTTTTCTTCTGCTGAGACCAAAAGCAAGAACTTTTTATTGTATATTTTAAAACTTTGGAAAAAATTAGCATACAAAGCTTTATTTTCTTGTTTTATTTGTTTATTTTTGTAAAAAAAAATGTCAGGGAATTACTTTCAAATAAAGTAGATGCGTAGAAAAACTCTAGTTAAAACACTTTATGTATAAGAACCTGTTTTTTTTAAAAAAACACTTTAAATCATTCATGGAACAGACAAATATTCTGGTAACAGTTATGAAATAGGTTGGATTTTATTGATCCCCTCATCAATTCATATTGATTTTAAATAAGCAGATAGATCTAATTGATTTGTCCTTAAAGGAGAGGGATGCAGTTTGTTTGCTATGGTGGCAACAACACAACTGACAACATTTTTGTATGAAAAATAAGCTATTGATACAGTCAGTCAATTAGTAGCAGACTAACCAGATTTTGCTATCTATGATACAAACTCTTCAAATATTGCTTTCATTCATTTGTATTGGCACTGTGAAAGATCGACAAGGAATTAATACTAAAGTCATATGGAATCTTACAGTTTAGTACTTATATTCCTACGTACTATATGTCAATTGTGCCAGGGATATGGAAACCAAAGATTTCTTTGCATGCTAAACATTCTTTTTCATTTTTTTTCAACATGTCCAGATTATTGTTCAATGGTGACCATTGTAGATCAGTCCAACGTAACGTTGGTGTGTTCATTTTTTAAGGCATTCAAAGATGCCCTTCCACAAATCTACAGGCTTGGAGATATTGTTCGATTTCACAGAATAAAGGTAATTTTAAAGCACTTGCAGCCATGTTGTAAGAAAGCTGCACTATAGACTGTTCAAAGGAAACAGAGCAGATACTTCTTGGCATTAATCTTTGACAGAGAAAATTATATCTTTCATGGAAAATGCATGTTGGTTGCTCTTACCCAGTAAACTGAACTAGAAGGCTTCATGTGGCCTTTGAATGGTGGGAGATGCAGTGGAGTCAAATAAAATACTGAATTTAATTTTAATTGAATTAAATTTAGATTACATTAATTATAAATAGTAGAATAATTATTTAGGAATGTTGCTTTCTACTGCATTAACATCAAGCGAATTTTTTAGACAATTCCTGGACTTTAATGGACGGCAGAAAGTCTTGAGTTTTCTGCCATAGTAATATTATTCTTGTAGATAAGCAGAACTAAAGCTTTCTTACAATACTTTGTGCATTTTGTCTTTGCCTTATGATAAGGGTGGGTTTTTGTATCTGCTCTGTCATCCTATGGATCTTCAACTCTGATATATGACAGCAAGTTTTTTTCTTCTGTTAGATACTTTACTTCTGTGCTTTAATGTTTAAAGAAACGCAAGCATTCACAAATATTACTTAGAAATACTCTTTTGCTCAATCTTCTTGGTCATTACTCTTCCTTATTTATTTTTGTTTACCATTCTTTTAGCAGAATCTTAATGTCCTTGAACTTGTAAATCTCCTCTTTCACTTTTCAACATATTTCAATCTTGGTGGAGCAGAGGATAATTTGGGTATAATTTTTCAACTTGGCCAAGTGAACTGGATGCAAAGTTTTACAGCTGAAAATTGTGGGTGTTTACTTTATTCAATGGTTTCGAATTAGGGAATATTAACAATATTAAGCAATGTTAATATTTGGTATGCAGCGTACCACAAAAAGCATGTTGGTTTGATTGCATGAATGTTATTCTGGTGGATTTTTTTAAATTTTCAAATTTGGTAGCATTAGAGAATGAAATGTTCACTAGAGAACGAAATGTAAGCAAACTTACATTAGGCATTAATTTGGATCCTGTTAAAATTTGTGAATTTTTTAAAGGATTATGTATCGTTTACTTCATATTGCACATTAGTTTAGGTCAGTGAAAGCGAATCTTTTATCCACCGAGTGCCCAAACTCTGTGCGTGTGCATGCCCAAACTGAAAGGTGCAAGCAAACGCTCGCATGCGTGAACATGGACACATGCATGCACGGACATGTGTACATGCGCAGCAGAGACCCAAAGACCAGCTGGCTGGTGGCAGGAGGGGCATCCCAACACCGGCAGCACAGCAAGAGATAAGATCTTTTTCTTTTGTGAGCTTCTGTTTTGTCGTTTGCAAGGAAATAGAAGTTCACGAAACAAGTGGGTGATACGAGTCTTTTTTTAAATTCCCCAATCAGTTATGGAAAGAATCCATTCCTCGATCTTAACTGATCTTCTGCAAATCAGATGTGTCCTTCTGGCCCAGTTGACTTGTAGCCCATTGCATCTGCTGACCAAAATACTGAACAAAATCGCAGTAGACTCAATAAAGAGATTAGGAAAATAAATATACAGAGGTAGGAACGATGAGACAAATATATTCTCCCATTGGAAGAAAATAACATTTGAAATTATGTACATTTTCCTTATAGCATATATTGGTGACCAGCTAAGTAAAGAAAATAGCCATTTCAGGTATCATTGTACTGATTACAGAAGCTGATTTATTGCACCAGAGACTAGTATTATTTTTATCTTAAGAAGATTTATTACCTGGAGTACCTAATTTTGAAACTGCTATGCTTTTCAGATGTTGATCATTCTTTTAGCAACCAACTGCAAATAAAAATGCTATAATCAGATGTTTATTATAGCAGAACAGCTGTTTTCATGAAGCATCAACAGTGCTGGCTTACATTGTTTCTAGTTCAAACACACTGAAATTCAACATTTTTGCAATCTAATGTCTTCCTTCAGAAACAGGGAGGCAATCTGTAGTCCTGTGTTAGTATCTTTACTGCCACGTTAATAGTCACTTTATGCGTTTAATTCTAGAAGGCATCACACTATGTTTTCTGCAAATAAAATAGCCATATGTCAGGGGTGTCAAACTTGCGGTGTCACGTGACATATTGTGACTTTCCCCCGCCCTCGCTAAAATGGGTGGGTGTGGCCAGCACATGACACATCCGGCCCCATTGGCTGTGAATTTGATATCCCTGCCATATGTGCTCAGTTTATATATGTTGGATTTCAGATAATGACCCCAAACATATAGAAGAATGGAGGACTTTTTCGGTTCCATCAGTTGAAATTTTAAAAAAATTCAAGTAATCAAATATTCTGAAACCATAGTTAACCAATTATTAACTGTAATTTGACACTTTCTAAGCATCTTGATTTTTTTTATTTCATAATTTTAGTATTGCAAGCTGATATGAAACCTTGACATTTTAGGAGGAACTTTAGATAACATCATTTTTATTCTTATTCTTGTAGATCAAAGAATTTAATCACAGGATGCAAGGCACTTCAGGCCCTGGATTTAGTTCACTTACATTTGATGGTAACATTGGAGCTCCAGTGATTCCCCGAACATCTAGTAAAACATTTTCATTTACGGATGAAGATAGAAAAACCGTAGAAGACTTGCGAATTTGGGTGGCAAGTAATCTTCTCAGTCTGCCTCCCATGAAAAAATTATCTGAAATTTATCCACCAATGTTTTTTGAATTCACTGGCAAATTAATAGGAAAAGCTAAAGTGGATGGATCTTCTTATCTTCTCAAGGTCTGTTGTTATGATTATTCCCATCCTTGCACTCATTATATTTTCATTCAACTGTAATTTCGCAGTAGTCATAGGTAGGCTATAATTGAAAGTATGTCTCTCATTAAAATAGTTTTAAATCTTTTGCTAGAAATGCTGCATTTTTAAATTTCCTGAAACTTTCGGAGACCAAAGGTTTCATTCAAGCAAGTTAATAACTTATGGTTTTCACTTATCGTGTTTTAACTCAATTTATGGTGGCATCTTTCCAAGCTGACTTCATTGTTTTATGGGCCTGATTGTCATTCAAATAATTAATAGTACTTTGGGAAGAAAATAGTTTTTTTATCTACTTGTAAACATCCCTGCTTGAAGCCATATTTTTCCTATACTGTTAATCTATGAATATTTTAGTATTTCCCAACTACGGATTTTGATTTCCATTTTCCCTATAAAGCAGGGCAACTAGGATTGTTTATGAAACATAAACATATTCAAGTAGAAATATATTTCCTAGGATTGAACTGCTTTGCTTCTTTCAAACCTGTATGCTTTGCAACTTGCCAATGAACTGGGGCGGGGTGGGGGGGAGGGAATGAAATGCAAAGAGCACGAGAGCATGGAAACCATTAAAGTCACCACTGCAGGTGTTGGAGGAAGAGATGGACTGTTCCCATAACAAAAGGACATTTCATAATTGGACAATGTGATCACCCATGGGTGGGGTGAAGGGGAAGCTATTGTTTCACAAGGCAAGCATTTGCGCAGGAAAAGCAAAGCTGGTTTTGTTTCTTCAGTACCAATATGGTGTATCCAATACACATTTGACAATTGAAATCTCCCTAGACTGTTTCCTAGTTTTGGTTCGCTAGTTGGACAGTTAACATTCTGTTCTTTTAAATTATTCTTCAGGAAGATTGCAAAATAATGTTCTTTATAGAGAAATAACTGTCTCAGAAAAATTTAACAAAGTGTATTTGAAGAAGCAGCTTTGGGAAATTATAGTCTTAACAACAACACCTTTAAGGCTCAGGTTTTCAATCCTTTATTGTAATTTTTAATCTTTACTCTGGAATATTCTTGGTGCAATTTTCTCTGATTCCAAAAAGAGTGTTCTTTGTTTCACTGCAGGTATGGGATGGCACAAAATGCCCTTTCCCATCTTGGAATGTGTTTGTTAACGAAGAAGACTTAGAGGGAGATGAATGCGTTCTCCGTCGATTAAAATACGTAACTGTGGATGTTGTAGCTTATGATAATCATGTGCATCTGGCAAAACTATTAAAGGTAAAGGAACTCCTTGTCAATTATGGCTTTATTTTTATTTTATATTTCTAGTTCTGCTTTAGGTTTTTTTTTTTTTACTAAAAGTGAGTGTACAAGTTCATTTATTTAAATTAAATAAATTTAATGAATATAAATTATGTAATTGCCATGATTAGTTCCAACAAACCAAATCTCCCAGGGTAGAGCAAGTAAAGAAAATTCAATTGATTTATTATGAAAGAGTTTCTTAAAGGGCTATGATATATCTTTTGGAATGCAACTATGAACATTTGGAAAAGAGATGAAGTCTTCAGTTTCTTTCCTATTACTCAGATAAACTTTTTTTTTAAATGTAGCTTTTATTATAAATTACGCTGTTTCATTTTTTTCATTATTATTTTTTAAAAGCACTTTTTCAAGGAAAAAATAAACATGGACTTCTATGAATTTGTTCATAAATATTAATTTCTAAATGTTTCATTTTGCGATTCGTAAACTTTTGGGAATCCTGCAATGTAGAAAGAAAACATTTTAATCTTTATTCCTTATTAGAGTGTAATTTTGCTAGGAAGATTATTTATAACAGGAATTATTACTGCAATTAACTCTTAAATAAGGATATATATAGTAGTATTGCATGTTCAAGATTGCCATATAATTCCATTCTACTGTTAAGGCTGAGGTTGGTACAGGTAATCATTCGCTTCCTACCTATTGTTTAGCAATTAATCAAAATTATGATGGACCAACCTTTAGACTACTTACAGTTCTGATCCACAGTTTCAACGGTGCTCCTCCCTACAGTCACATGGGCAAACTTTAAATGCTCAACAGCATGGATGCATTTACAGCTGTTTGTAGCATTCCAGGGTCATGTGACACTGTTTTACAACAGTTTTGCCAAAAACAGACACTTAACCCATGTCAGGGTTCCAAGTAATAATCCCAATGAAATCAGACATCGAGGCTTGAGGTTCCTCAAAGTTCCATTTTATTAGAGATGTTTCTAAATGATAATGGCACAACTTCCAGTTTTTCCCACCCAAAAGAGTCTAAGCACCTACCTGGTGCTCCTCTCCTACACTCACATGTCCATCATATGGTCCAATCAAAGCACCGTCGCAATTGGAGATGCCTCCCAGTCACAGCCCTCCAGTTGCAGGGCAGAATGTTCTTGACTCTCAGAGAAAGGAATGTTATTATAACTATATATCTCCATACAATTCCCCCCCTCCCAGTTTCCCACAGACTAAATGTGGCAGGCCTGAAGATTCAATGCCCAAGGTGACTTCCAGGCCGGACAACCCACATAGTTACAAAGCTTTTCCAACTTACCATTGTTGGTATGGCTCTAACGTAGCTGGAGAAAGTTGCCTTTTCTTTTTAGCCATTCGCATTCTCACTTGCACTGCTGAACATGAATCACACTGCAATGCAGTCATGTACCAATTAATGCCAACCATGTCTCCGATTCCAACCTGCCATATGGAAAATGAGCTCCAGTTGTTTGGGAATTTACATTTGTAGGTTTGCTGCTTGGTTTTAAGCCATTTTCACTAAATAACCCTTAAGTTAAATTGGGATTTCTTTTCTTCAGTGCCACTTTTTAAGGGAAAGAGATAATTGACTTGCCCTTGTTCACTGGAGATAAATCAAAGTTAGGGCTCCTTATTTTCCATTCTGCCTTAATTTGCTTCGGATTCTTACTAATTAAAATGCAACAAAACAGCTTGTTTTACCTATGGGAGGTAGACTTCATCTTTTTTGCTGCTACATTTTATGACAAAATAAAAACCTAATCCTGGTACATTGATCCAGTTGTGCAAATGTATAGAAACTGGTTGTGTGCTCACTGTGTCAAATTCTGTGGTTCAAGAGTGAGCATTTGGAAATCTATGCCAAGCCAAGAAAGTGTTCTGACCCAGCTCCCCAAACACGACAAACCCTCTGAACTCAAACGATTCCTTTATTAGGAGCGCCAGCAGCCCCGGCAAAAAGTTTCTCTCCCAGGCTGACCGGAAGATAAATAGTTGTCTGCCACATCTACTCATCTCCGCCCCACTGCCTTTTATCCCCAGAGTGAGGGTGGGTCTTCACTAGCAATGGTGACTTTTCCATCCCAAGGATCGGCCCACAGATTTCCACTGCTCTCCTCTCCTCTGCCTTCTGCGCATCCACTCGTCGGGCACTGGACCCAGCTGTTCCTTCTCTTCCTCATCGGCCACCTCCAGACCTGGGGGCTGTTCCTTTCCATCTGAGGGCTGATGGCGGCCCAGACTCCGCCTCTGTGTCTCTCCCAGCTCCATTCCTTCTTCCCACTCGGAGCTCTCAGTTTGCCTTGATGCTAACCCTGACTCCCATGCCACTGCCTCCTCTGATTCAGCTGCTGGAGGGGCAGGTAACTGACAGGCCACCACAGATAGATACAAGTAGCTCTTGACTTATGACCATAATTGCGACCAGCTTTATCACTGCTAACCGAGTTGATTGTGAAGTGAGTCACACACAATTTGATTACCTTTTTTTGCTGTGTTGTTAAGTGAATCATGTCATCGTTAAGCAAATCTACTTCCTTGGTTGGCTTTCCTTGTTGGAAGCTGGCTGGGAAGTTCATAAATGGTGATCCCACGATATCAGGACTCTGCAACTGTCATAAATATGTGCTAGTTGCCCTGTGCCCAAATTTTCACAGCTCTGCTGCAACAAGTTGGAGGCTCACTATTTTCAGTGCTGTTGTAACTTTGAATGGTCACTAAACAAAATGGTTGTAAGTCAAGGACTACCTGTAATAGGACTGCTTTACTGGCAAGACAGGAGACTCTAACAAACGGAACAAGGAGGTGAGGACTAGTAAACATACTGACTATGGAGGGGAGGTAATTGGAAAAGCAGCATTGGAGAAGCAAGATCATTGATGCTAAAGAAATGCATGTTCCAAGAACATTCTGAGCTCATTCGTCTTCCTACAAGGATTATCCAATGCAGGAGTTTTTTCTATTCGTGGCTTTTTGGTTGTACTTAAGCGGTTATGAATTTTTAAATATGGAAGTATTTCAATAACTAGTTGGTGCAGGCTTGTGCTTAGAATTTCCTGTTCACAAGCTAGAAAGGTAAATGTATGCAATGCTGCCACCCCCTGGAAAATATTGATAGTGCACTAGAACGTTTTAACCAGTAAGTGTTGTTAAAGATTGGTGCATTTGTTTTGCATTATGTCACTGCTGGGAGGCGATGGGTACTGATTTTCTAAATAATACTTGTGCAAAAATTCATGCCCCATAAGTACATAATACCTGACACACCTCTGTATGATACAAAGTTAAAGATTTTTCCAAAATCTGCAATCCATATTTGTTCCTTACGTTGACTTGCTTATAAATTTAACAAAAAGTATAAATATGGCCAATGCAAAACTTTAGATACGCTTTTGGTCAACACTTCGATACCTTTTTTGCAGAAACAATAGTTTCCAACCATTCCTTATAGCCAGCTAATTCTGTTTTTTGAGATTTTTTAAAAAACTTTTTACTACATAATTCTTTTAGCTCAGAAATATTCTTAGGTTTCCTTACATGCACTGTGCATCTGAGATCTTCCCACATAGTTTCAGTATTATTCAAGTTGTGGGAAGGTACAGTATGTTTTGGATTGTTTCTTTGCTGAAATATCCAATTTTCTTTCACCTTCAGTTTCTTCATTGACAGAGACATTCCTGGTAACCATCCATCAACGTACGCCATCTTATGTAAAAAGGAATCCACTTAGAACTAAAGAATTCTGATTTTGCTTTGTTTATTTTCAGAATTGTGTCAGACTCTACTATTCTAAAAGGGACACGGAGGCTCAGTGGCTAAGACACTGAGCTTGTTGATCAGAATGGTCAACAGTTCAGCGGTTCGAATCCCTAGCACCACGTAACGGAGTTAGCTCCCGTTACTTGTCCCAGCTTCTGCCAACCTAGCAGTTCAAAAG